CTCTCTCTCTCTCTCTCTCTCTCTCTCTCTCTCTCTCTCTCTCTCTCTCTCTCTCTCTCTCTCTCTCTCTCTCTCTCTCCCCCTCTCCCTCTCTCTCTCTCACTCTCAGTGCTCTGGCTAAGTTCGCCAGTGTGACCGGTGGTCCCTGGAGAGACCTCCTCTCCAAGGAATACCCCGGTTGTGCAAAGTTTTTCTGAATGAGATACGACGATCGGGGTTTGCAACGGACCTGGTCGTATGCCATTTTCGGTTTCTGTTTTTTTGGAATTGTGTGAGACTGACAGATGTGGCTCTGCAAGGAACGGAGGGAATGTGCTTCTCCGATAGTAGTTAGGTAGGTTTTTCGGAGATAGTGCTTCGACTTTTTTGGAATTTGTAAGAGAAACTCGGCTGACAGACGTGGCTCTGCGATGAACGGAGGGAGTATGCGTCTCCGACAGTAATTCGGTAGGAATTTTCGGGGATAACGCTTCGATCCCCCCCTCCCCCTTTTTTTTTATTTCTGTTTTTGGAAATATGGCTTTGCGGCGAACGGAAGGAATGTACTTCTCTGAGAAGTAATTCGGAGGGATTTTTTCGGATTTTTTCGGATCAAATGCTTTGTCCCCCCTTTTTTTTATTTCTGTTTTTGGAAATGTGGCTCTGCGGCGAACGGAAGGAATGTACTTCTCCGAGAAGTAATTCGGAGGGATTTTTTCGGATTTTTCCGGATTAAATGCTTTGTCCCCCTTTTTTTTTATTTCTGTTTTTGGAAATGTGGCTCTGCGGCGAACGGAAGGAATGTACTTCTCCGAGAAGTAATTCGGAGGGATTTTTTCGGATTTTTCCGGATTAAATGCTTTGTCCCCTTTTTTATGCTTGTATCAAGGATTTTGTAGATTTTAGGATTTTAGTATGATTATTGTTTTTGTTTTTAAAATAAATAGCCCGCCTGTTTTATCTCCGCAATCGGGATGGGACGCGCATGGTCGGGGTATGATCATTTAGAGTTCATTATGCATTTTATCTGAAAACTTCCGGGAAACTTTTGGATTTTGGTTGTGGAAATACAACCCGACCTTTGGGCGCAGCGGACGGGATGGGACGAGAACAGTCGGGATGAAGTCAATTCGAACTCCATGATGAATCTTTATTCGAGTTATCCACC